ACTTGGGCACGCGCACATACTTTTGGCCCGATGTCTGCACAAGATTTCGCTATGTATTCCAGCTCTACGAGCGTCATGAATCAATGATAAAATTTCGCGAGCAAAAATGCTTAGACGATAACATAGTTGAACGCTTCGCAGCTCTAATTGGCACTGAGGAGTTCCCTATGAAAACCATAAAGAAGATCAATATAAGCAAATGCGATCGGAACTTGCTGCGTGCACTACGTCACAACCATCCAGAAATCGAAGAAGCGCAACTAAATGACTTTAACAACGAAGATTTGGAGGCGCTGTTGCCGCTGCCAAATCTTAAGATTTTAATATGCTCAACAAGTTATCTATTAACAGGTAAGACAACTGCGTATTACCCATCTCATAAATTTACCTCCAGCCCTTTCTCTTCATATACCCCACAGGAAAATACATTGACGAACTGAACAGTCTTAAGACGCTATATTTAGAATCGGCTAATTCTTTGCAACCTGAGTACTTGCTTAACATTGCGCGGTACAACAAATTACTACGTCTGAAAGTACGCAGCTGCTCTTCAGCGTTCTCGGAGCGTTTTGCTCAGCAAATTGTCGAGCAATTAACTTACCTTGAGGAACTAGAGGTGCAATGGAATACAGATCCCTCTTGGCAACTAATAGCCACACTATCGCAACTGAAAATACTCGACATACGTGGGTTCCACACTCGCCAATGCGACGCTTGTAAGACCATAAGCAGTGGTAAGAATTCGACTGAGCACGCCTCCAAAACCGCAGACTGGGGTGTCTGTAACTGTGGCAGCTACCAAGCAAAACTGTTCTTTGAGGAATTATATCGCCGAACACAATTAGACCAACTATTTATTCGAAGAAGTAGTCTGACGGAGCGAGATCTTAAGTATATATCGAAATTGACGTGGCTGAAATGTTTGCATTTTTCTGGCGTGCATTTTAGCGTTGCAGTTTCACTGGCCATATTTGGTAATCTCCTTGAGTTGGAAGAATTTTATATTGGTCCAAGAGTTGATGTGAGGGATGCTTTGGTATTTGTTGGGAAATGTCAGCGGTTACGAATTCTGACTTTTTATCACGTCAAAGGTTTGGACGATAACTTTATCGTGGACGCTATTGCATTACTTCGTCAGAGGACGGTTCGACCTACCGGACCTGTAGAATTTAGACTAACTAGTGCAACGTTTGATGAGCGAATTTTTGAAGTAAGTATTGGAGCTCGGGATATGTGGAATGTATTAGCTTTCTTCGCTACTAGTTCAGGTCATATTACTATTCTCAAGCTATTTTTTAGTGAAGCTCTTTTGAGATCCTCAAAGAGGATTGCCTAAATTTGGAATAGCATGCCAAAGTGGAACATACAAAGCCTCTTTATGACCGTCACCATCTATCATACAACCAATAGGTACATATTACCACTTCTACATATCAGAGGATAAGTACATTTATCTTCTTTTGGAAATAGTTGAGACTTTTCCTGGACAAGAAAATTTCTTTAAGGCATTTAAAACTTCTGAAATAACTTGAATGATCTGAAAATCAAAACAGGCAGTTCTTCAGCCGACTATTGTAGGTTAATTTTTGTCAGAAGAAAACAGACCGGGGATGGATAATATGGAGAGTGGACTATATCTAGCCAAGAACTCGTCTTTCATTGTTCTGCCGTGAGCTCGTTTCCTAGACGGAAATTTGAAGCGAACAGACTAAAAATTCCGAACCAGTAGATGACAATTTTTTTTTACTTTTTCAAAAAACAATCATTAGACTGATCTGTTCCAGAAGACGAGAATAATTTTTAGCTTTTCAAAGACTGTTTAGACTGGCTAGCGTGAACTATTTATTACTATCTTCATCGAGTATTTTTGGCTATTATAGGGCATGGCTAGGGCGGCAATTTGTGAGGTCCTCACGAAGTAAATTTTCAAAGTGCCGGAGGGGAAGGGCTGTTAGTTTGAAAGTCTACAGGGTTTGGGGCACCTTCCAAAATTTTTCCTCTTGCCGAAAGAGGTGCTGGTACCAAACCTTACGTATCTAAATATAAATTTAGAGGATGCTCATATTTTATTCTAGAGAACATTTCAAATTTAAATTGTCTATTAAAATATCACAAGCTTCAGTTGTCATGGCAACAGAAGCTTCTTATAAAAATCACCAATATTTTTGCCAGTTTCACAGCGATTCAGTAGTGCATTTCAAGGTAATTGAGCACCCTGTATTGGTTGCAGTAGAAAACTGAAATTTGGTATAGATATTACAAATATCAAAAGGAAAAAAACTAAGGGGTCGCCCCGTTTTCTAGGATGAAATTTTTTTCCCCCATACAATAATTGGACCACTCTAATGTACATACATAGCTTAGCACAGAAACTTAGCTGCTTTGCAATGTTAGATTTTAAAAGTGACTGATTAATCAGTGGATTTTTCTCTTGCTTGGTCAATGAAATGGGCAACTGATTACGTTTTAAGCACAAAATATAAGTAAATATGTAGTATAGGTCCAGAATTAAAAGAGCTGTGATGTTTAGAGATCTGCATACGTGGCTTTCGCCGTCCCGTAGATATTTTTGAGTTCGCCACGTTAAATTTTTAAAACTTTTTATTTTGCAGGACGTTCGTATAAAAGATGCGAAAGAATTCGTGAAAATAATAATTTGCCATATGTGAAGTCGGATAAAAAGAATGGGGCAAAACGACCGGAAATTTCAAAATGAGCATGTTTATTTTCAGGAAACATTTAGTTTTCTAAAAATCTTTTTTATATAAAAAAATATATTTTCTTTATTGATTGCTTATATTTTTTATATTTTTTTTTATTTCGTTTTTTTTACTTTATCTTCTTTAAATTTTGTATTTATTTTTAACATTTTTGTTCAATTTTTTTAATTCCGTTTTTTACTTTATCCTCTTTAAATTTTGTATTTAGTTTTTTACATTTTTGTTAATTTTTTTTGCCCGTTATGGTTTTATTGTAACAGCGTACAAATTTCCCAAAGTGTTTGGAAGTGACAAGTCCTTGGCCAGATATGTATAAATCTGGGTCGTTCCGGTTACGTAAGGAACTGTCGTGGGAAGGTGTCCGTAACGTTCTTTCTTTTTGTTACTTTCTTAAATTTTTTTTTATACTTTTGCTTTTATCTTTTTTTGGTTTTTATAATTTTTTCTACAAATGTTTTTCTTGCTTATGTATTTTTTTAATCTTTGTTATTAAATTTTAATTTTATTTATTTTATTATTTTAAATTTTCAAGATTCTTTTTTTTTAATAACCAAAAATAGCTATATAGTAAATAAGGCACATTTAAAAACCTAAAAAACTTACTAACAATGCACTTATAATTGAAAAAATAAAAATAAAATAAAAATATATTAAAAAATAAAGTAACATTTAAAAAGTATATAAAAGATACGAAATTTAAGTCGTAAAAAGAGAAAAAAATTAATTACACTTGAAAAAAATTAATAAAATTAGAAGAAATTTGAAAAATAAAAATTAAAAACAAGTGTATTCGCAGCCAGCAGAGGAACATACGTTTTTTTGACAGTGTTTTTTGTACAATTTTCATATCCGGCAAAAGAAACAATTTGCAATTTCCGCCAATTTTTCGTAACCGAAAATGATAATTTTATTTAAAAACACGACTGAAAATTAATGAAATGGATTTTATATGGAATTTTTGCCATTTTCGGATAAGTTCCAGATAATTACTGGCTGAAAAGTTTCTGATCAAGAAATTAACGATTTTTGAAATCTAAAAAGAACAACACAGTTTTAATTTTATATATATATATATATATATTTTTTACATTTATATGTATATTGTTCACATTTTAAATTGTCATTAAATAAATTGCTTATAAATAAATATTAGATTATGTGCAAACAAGTGGTTATGTTTTCTTTTTGTGTGGGTATAATATTTCTACGCTATGAATTTTTTGCTTTTGTTACCTTTTTCACACCTTTTCAAGTATGCATTAAAGTAGTATTTTTATATTTCAAACGATTTTATTAATTATATAATAGTTTTAAATGTTTTGTTTTTTTTACTCTCTCTCTTTCATTGCTATTTGACTAATATTTTTAATATTAGAAGAAACTAAATAATGGACATTACATACTTTAAATAATATGGTATAGCAACCAAAGGCCACTTTAAGCTATCCACATTAGACATTTTATTATTTAAGAAACCCGCTTTTTATATGTACATACATATGTGTTGTGTGTTTTTTTTTTTCTTTCAACAAAGTTTTCGCCTGCAACCCGCCTCTTTCAGTCTCTAATTCAACTTGCTTTGCGTCAACTCATATTAATTCCAAAGGCACTTTTGGCATACAATTACATAATTTAAATTCTGACCGACTAAATAAACTTTGTTGAAAGAATACATATATCTGTCTGTGACAATAAGGAAATTAAGGAATAAGAAAATTCCCTTGAGTTTGGGTAATAATGGGAATGATGTGTTATACTAGCGTCAATCTTTCGACCTTAGCAGTTATTCCTTATTGTCAAAAATATGCATACCCTGACGTTTTGACGATTTTTTTTTTTTTATTTATATCTTCCATACCCAATTTTTCTCGGAAAAATGCAAGAAATATCAAGAAATTTTCACCGGAATTTTCAAATTTTCAATTCGATTTTCTTCCATATAAAAATAGGCTTCGTTCGGGCGTTATATGGAAGGAAATGCGCAACACCGTCGACAAAAAACAAAAATCTCAAAAATCAACGGTTATTTTAAGCGACTTGAAACCTGCACTTTATCGTAGTAAAATTTAATGGGCTACAAAACTACATATTCGAAATATTTCTAAGTAATAAAAAAAGTGGTTTTTGCTGTTAAATAAACTATAATTTTATAAGATAAATTTGGTTTGGAAAATAGCAATTAATAAAATCGTCAAAACGTCAGGGTATGCATGTTTTTGACGCTGACTGTATATATATATGTAAAGTGCAGAGTGCTTTTATATTAGCATTATGATTATGTATAATTGTTACATACGTATTTATGTATATGTACATATAAGTATGTAGTATATGTAAGATAGCCTTTACAAAGTCATTTCTATGACTACTTCGTAGATATGAGTAATGAAATTAAGTTATAGATAAATATTAGCAAACGCAAACAAAACAAAGTTAGTAAAGAAAAGAATAAATTGGCAGTAAATAGTGCAGGCAACGTTATATATTACAAGCGTGAGCTACTATATATATTTATAACAAGAACAAAAAAACAAACCTATAAAAATGCTATTTTCATTTTACGCTATATTTTTTATACAAAAGCACATAAAAACTCTGAGGACATAATAATATAAGTAATATATTTATATATAGTATTAGAAACTAAATGTTAAAAATTATTTTACAGATCAACTTACACACAGCAACTCAAACCTCATACGTTACTTTTGCAAAAAAGCAAACAACTAAAGCTAAACTAAAAAAAAAAAACCTAAACCCTTTAGGCAGCATGACCATTTCTTAAATTGCTATTGCCTGTCGCTGTCTGAACACTTACGACGGTCACCTCGTTTGCTTGCTGCAGCACGCTGAGTGAAACCGTGGGCAACAACGTGGCATTTGTGCTCTCAACATCAACACCCTCACCACTAGGGGTAGCAGCCGCATAACGACAAGCAGCCGCTAAACACTTGCAGGAGAGATGACGATTTTTGAACAGCCAAAATGTGTCGCCATAATCGAAACTGAAAAGCGGGAAGAATTTAATACATTCGATGTTTTAAATATGTAAATAGAAAGAAAAACCCCATCATACGCACCACAACTCCTCGCCCGCCTCAATATCGCGACAGGCGAAAAATGCTATTTTCGGAAAGCGATAATCCTGATGCTCGAAAAATACGCGCACCGAAACTATATTCGGCTCGCATGAGTGATTATAGAAGCGACTTACGTTGCCAAAGTAATTTGCGTCGATACAATGACCATTTTCCAAATCAAAGCAGTAGCTATCGTCGGTGCGTCGATCGGCTTCTGTGTTACTAAGTATTTCGCCGATATATTCTGAGACGAAGGTGCCTTTTGGTATATGCACCAGCGTGCGTACACCCCAACCCTTGGTGGGATCGCTGCATTCGAACACTTGTAGTGGTATACGTATGCCATTTTGTACAATGCGATTTCGACATGACAGCTGAAATGGAAATGAAGACGAATATGAAAGGAAAAGTTGCTAGGAGAATTAAGATAATAGCAAATATTTTTATGAACATAAGAAGCGTTCAGCATCTCCTGATAGCTGCAGCAGCTGGCACTTTACTATTGACTCACCTTATTACAACCGCAAACGTCATTACACTCGAATATTGGCACTGGGTCTTCGAAATTAAAATCAGCGCACAAGCGACCTTCAGTAGTATACCAATTTTGGCCGGATGCTTCTGTGCATTGGCATTGTGAGGAAATGCAGCTGCATAAAATGAAGTAGCAACATATTGCTATCAATTTCAATTTCTAAACTCAATCTTTCCACTTACCCATCCAAGCACGAGCAAATGCGCATTTGCGCCACTCGATAATCGATTGGCGTGCAATTTTGCAATATTATTGACTTTTTAATATATTTCAAATCGGGCAACATAATCTCATCTGATTCGTCATGGCTCACAATTGCAACAGAGGCTGATGTCGCCTCACTACCACCATTTTGCTCGCCGCCAGCTACATTTCGAGAAAATGTCTGCTCATTGCGCACAACCTGTATGGGTCGCGCCTCTCGCCCATTCGATATGTCATCACAAACTATGCGACTGCGTAGCCCCAGTGGGCGGAATGAACGCATTTGCATATTGAAACCAACAGTACGCGCACACTCCGAATCTTCGTGCGGTATGCAATCGTATGGCAGCTCGTCCGCCTTGTTTTTAACCATCAAATCGGCACCATTTGCGATGAGTGCAATGCACAGACGGGTGATGGAATGACGACAGGCGATGTGTCTAGGGAAAAAGGGATAGATATAGAGGATGCAAAATAAAATGAATTTAAAAAAGGACTGTATTTACAGTGGCGTATCACCCTCCACATTTTGCACATTACAGTCGGTGCCGGCCTGCAGCAACATTGTGATCGTATCCAAGCCATTGTTGTGTAATGTGGCCCAATGTAGAACGGTATTATTGTCATTATCGCAAATATTCGGATCAGCACCGTGGTTTAGGAGGAGACTGCAAAATAAACAAACAAAAAATGCAAACATCAGGAAAAATACGTTTTACGCATAAAGCAATATTTTTTTTTACTTATTTATTTATCTACTTAATTTTTGGGGATTTTCCGAAATTATTTTTGTGCTTTTTTAATTTATTTTTTTTTTACATTTTTTATTTGTTTTATCATTTCTTGCTTTTATTTTTACTCTATTTTATCTTTCTTTACATTTATTATTTATTACATTTCTCATTTTACTTGTTAAATATTTTACATTTTGATTTGTTTAACTTACAAATTTTTTTGGTTTAAATTTTTTTTTGATTTGTTAGATTTTTATAATACAAACTGTTATTTTTTATATAATTTTTTAATTTATTTTCATTGATTTATTTATTTTTTTATTTTAATCTTTTTGTTTTTATAATTCTTTATTCATTTTATCTTTTTATTTCTTTATTTTATTTATTTTTTAATGTTTTTCATATAATTCTTCCTTATATTTTGGCTTTTTTGTCTATTTTTTTGTCTTTTGCCTTACCTCACAATTTCCGTATGCCCCAATTCCGCGGCCCATACCAAAGCAGTCCAGCCACCATCATCCTGGGCATTAATGAAATCCATGAAGCTTAAGATACTACGACATGATCTATAGCTATCGACAATTATTTGAGCCGCTTCCAAGTTTCCCAATTTGGCGGCAATGTGCAAACAAGTTTTGCCATCCAAACCCTAGATGGAAGTAAAGAAAGTAAAATTCATAAACCCAGAACCAAAAAATTCTAAAAAAAAAAAATTAAAAATTAAAGTACTCCAAAATTCCAAACTCGTAGCCAATTTCTTTAAGATTAGTTTATAAGTAAACCATTTTCGGTTTATCATTTTACCTCTCAACTCATCACTTCCCTAAACGATTTTCCCAGCTTACCTTTATCGCCAAATCAGCGCCGCATTGTATGAACAAATTCAGTATTTCGCACTTGTCACCCAAAACGGCACACATCGATGCTGTACGCAGCTCACGATCCAACATATTCACAAATTCTTTCGCATAGCCCTTGCAAAGTAGCAGAAAAGCCATGGGCAAAGTGCCAGACAACGCAACCAAATGCAAGCAAGTTCCATTTAGGAATTCGCGCATACGCGTTTTAACATCGAAATCGGAGGCTGCAAGGAAGGTACAGAATATTTGAAGTTGAAAACCCCAAAGCGGAAGAATTCCCCAAATCACCTACCGAGTATTTCCGCGACTCGTTCGAGATCATCATTCTTCACCGCGTAGTACATGTCACGCGTGGAGAATTCCGAAATGGAACTGCGTGTACTACTCGCGCCACGGCGTCCATCTCTGGTGCTCGACGCTCGACCACGCAACACTACATTCATTACAGATTCGGGTATCAGCTGTTCGAAATTTATTTGGAGTGATTTCGTTCGTTTAGGCACTGAGTTGGTGGCAACAGCAAGCGACGAAGCGGCAATGATGCCACTGCTGGCGGATGTAGCACTATTCGCAACTACACCCAACGCGGCGCTGGAGTGACCGTTGGGTTGTGGAGCGCCACTCAAAGCAGGCAACGAAAGTTTTGCAGGTTTGCTATAAACGAAAGGGAGGTTAGCATGTCACGCAAACTTATTTTTATAATAATTTTAATACATTTTTGGCGCTCTTTGACTAGGCAAGAATACAGGCAATGTTTGGCATTTCATCGTGACGATGGAGGTACGTTCTGGCGTATCGATGCCACAGTGCGGACACTTCAGCACCAATGTAGGACTAGTGTAGTTACTGGCTGGCTGTTGCGGATCGATGGGACTGCTGAGTATGAATTTCTCAGCGCATTCGGTGTGGAAAAAATGTTGACGCTTGCAAAGCACAAATTTACCCTGAAAAAGAAAATTAAGAAATGCTATTGAAAATCCAAACACGAAAATATTTTGCAACAAGTCTTCACCGTTCCCACATACCTGAGTACAAAATATGCCGCAGCTAGCGCAGCAATTATGCGTTCGCAGCCGCTTCTTGTGATCTTCGCAAAGCACCATGTAGCTGACGCGCTGACTGGGACGCAGCAAATTGAAAACCTCGCCGTTCAACTGATTGCTACAGCCCACTTTCTGCTCCTCGATATTGTCAATGGCCCAACAGTAGGCCGTATCGGGTGTATTGCGAGTGTAGAATTGTGTCTTCTGCTCGCAGTAGCAGATCAAACCGCGCTGCGGCTTCTTTGCCTGCCTAGCGGTTGGCGGCGACGGCATTGACATGGTGATCACAGTGCCAATGGCATTTAACGCGCTTGCAGTAGCGGCCAGTCCAACCCCGGTCGAAATACTCTTGGGTGATTGCAACGACTGCACCTCCTGTGAGGACTCATTGATTTCGATTACCTCCATTGAGGCCACCTGAGAAAGTTGTGGCTTACTCACGCCAGCGCCCGCACCCGTGTTCACTGAACGTTTCTGCGCTGCGGCTGACTGCTTGTCGGCGGTGCCTGCTCGTTGTCGCGCCTGTGGTTTGCGCCCCACTTTTGTGCTCGTCGTCGGCGAGGTGGTTACTGCGCGCATCAGCGCCGGCTGGGTTACTTGTGGTGCTGCTGTCGTCGCCGCTGTTGGCGTAGGAGTACGCTCACGTGTCGCGCGCTGCCGCAATGTGTGACTGCGGCGTTCCACCTGCACGCGCGTGGTCGGTACAAATTCTTCATTGTCGCTCAAGCTTTCTACATCGCTCGCCTCATCAGTGGTGTTGCGACGCAGTCCAAGCTTACGCAAATTATTTTCCTTCTGCTTGGCCAACTTGCGCAGCTGCTTCTTTGTTAGTTTGCGCTCCTCCGTCGAGCGATTCGTATGCCACTTCGCAACCTTGATTTCGCTGAGAAATTTCTCTACGTCCGGGCAGCGAGGACGCGCCAGCTGCGCTTGTTCCTTAGCCAGCAGCGCAACCCGTGATGCTTCAATGTCGCGCAGCAACTTGGGGCATAATTTTTTCTTAGTGGAACTCGTGCTGGGAGCGACTGCCTTTTCTTCATTGATATCTGCACGCTCCGCCTTCTCAGATTTCGGCTGCCTGATAGGTTTCTCCGTTTCCGCGTGGCTACCGCCGGCAGTTGCCGGTTCGCCTGCACCTGTGTTTTGCGTGCACCCCCACCGCAATCTTCCCAATTTTGCGTCTGCGTCAAGCGCACAATATTATTCGTTTCGAATTCATACGCAGCTGACTGTTTTCAAGTATTTTCGTGGTTGGTTTAATGCGTCGCTGCGAGCGCTTGGAATGACCATATCGTTGTTGCTGTGAACACCGCGCTTTGTTGCCGAGCCTGGCGGTGTCTGATCGCTGCTCTCGCTGTTTGCATAAGACTGTGATTTATCCTGTTGTTGCTGTAAGTGATGCAGTTTCGATTTGCGTCCCCTCTTCTTTGGCGGCGTGCGCTCTTCCACCACGGCAATAGGGCCCTTTCTGTATTCGGGGGCGGCGCTTCAGTTAAGCTGAGCGGATCAGTAAGTAACAGCGAGGGTTTTGGGTTGGTGCTGGCTGCTACTGGTTCAATTTTGATTTCTTCGAGTGTTGGACCCTCCTACAAGACACACAATGAAATAAAAAGCAATTTATGGTACAAAGAAAGTAAGAAATACGCAAACATACCAGCTGCTTGCCGATGCTAGCGGACGTCACACCCACATCCGCACGATTGCCCAGCCGGACGCTACGTCGCATACGCTTACCACTATCGCCACTTCCATTACCAGCTACTGCCGCGCTGACAGTGGGACTGAGAGCCTCGTCCTTGCCGGCGTTGCTCTCGCTAGCATCCGGCTCAATTTTAATAGCTGGCGCAATTTCTGTAGCGACATTGCTGCTGTTGTCCTCAAACTGCTTGCGCTTGCGTCCTACAATTTTACGCTCTTGCGCCGGCATCGTCGTGGTTTTTGTCGCTGCTGTTGGTGTATCCAAGGGCATTTGTGCTGCCAATAACTGTTGCTTTCCTTCCTCCTTCATCGCAACATCCACACTTTGCTCAAATCCCTCCATCGTAACAGTGATTTTTCTACCGCGGCCACGCCCACGTTTACCTGGCTGCTGCTGTAGTTGCGCTTGTGCTGCAGCAGCCGCTGCAGCTGCGGCCACTTCAAGCGCGCCAGCCGCCACTGTAGTCGTCACTGGCAGTTCAACATCGTTTATTTCTACAGGAGCTGGGTTTGTTGGCGTTTCCGCCTTTGCCGGAAGTTGTGCCTTTGCTTCAGCAGTAATATCCATATTTTCTATCTTCGTCACTGCATTTGTGGTGGTGACCTGTGGCAGTGTTTCATTCTTAATGGCTACCTCAGAAAAACGGCGTGTCCGTCGTAAGCGACGCAGGGGGCTGACACTGGCCGCACGCACATTGGATGTCTGGAAAGGGAAAGATATAGGAAATTAAGGATTTTAAAGCTTTAAGTCGCGACTATCCTAACTGCAAATTCTTAAGGGACTTTGATGGATTTATAGTTGACAAACCAGCTAATCGTACTTCGCCTTAACTTACCTAGAATAATCTCAACAAAAACCATAGTCTACTTTGCCGACCTTATTTGGAAGCCAACAAAGCTTTTTTGCCAATTTAAATTGAAGCTATTCCCAGTTTATCAGCATTTCAGTCAAAAAAAAATGTTAATCAACATTCATCGACCACCTTCGAAAAATATGTACATATTTTCTTTATTCAGTTGGACCCCAATTTAAGCCCAAAGAAACCCATTACATACATATGTATATGAAATTATATCATTTATTAGCATTAAGCCTGCGTTTGGAAACCGAGAGCTTGTAAACGTAAACTGGCGGCTATAAAAATAGCTCCAAGCTAAATTTTTCCAGATTTTATCGCCAATTTTTAATTTTTTTTTTAAATACGTATCTATTTAATATGTAGTATTTATTTATTTTAATTTGACTTTTTTAATGAATTGCATTTTTTAATGTAATTTTTTATTTGCTCTCATCTTCTATTTTTTATTTTCCACTTTATTTTTGTTAATTTTAATTTTATTTTTGTTTTTATTTTTATTTTTTTATTAAAATTATTTTTATTTACTTTATGTTGTTTTTTATTTTTATTTTTGGTTTTGTATTTCAATTCTTTTATTTTCCCGTTTGGATTTTTTGCCATTTTATTTATTTTTTTTTTAATTTTTCATTAGGTTTTTATGACATTTATTTTTTTCTTCACTTTTTGTTTTTATTAATTTTTTTCAATTAAATTTCTTAGCACTTTATTTTGTTGTTTTTTTTTAATTTTATTATGGTTTTTTACTTTAATACATTTATTTTTTCTCTGTTTTTCGTTTTTTATTTATAAATTTTTTTTTTTTCACACGTAAATCCTTCTTACAATTCGACGAATTTTTACCTTCAAGTGAGCGTCCTTTTACAGCTCTCTGAGTTGAATCTCTTCCCATGGTCCTGTGTAATATTCCTGCGAATTTTTGTTTGATTTTTTGCCGCTACTGTACATTACCATTTTGTTAGTATCTTTCACATATTCATACTTTAATGCATGAATACACTCA